CCGCCGGCCTCGGGGACGCGCCCTCTCGCCGGCGCGCGCGCTCGCAGTCGCCGCCTCCCACCGGCTCCCGCACTGGCAGCAGTGCCGCCGCCACCGCCCACCTTCTGCCGCCGCAGCCACCGCCACCTTCTCCACGGTCCTCCTCCGTCCTCGCCTTCTGCCGACCACCAGGTAAGCGCGGAGGCCCCGAATCTGGGTCTCCGCCCGCCCCTCTGCACCTCCCTGCTCCGCCCCGCACCCGGGGAATGGACTTAACGCGGTGGGCGTCATCCCAGGCATCGATGGGAACCCTCCCAGCCTCGGTGCTCAGGGGCTGGGGCGAGGGCGGCTTCGAGGGGGAAGCGTGCGAGGGATGCACGCGCGCGTGTGGCTGCGCGTGTCGGTGTCTGCGTGCTCTCGGATCCGCACAACCCGCTCTCGAAAACCGCGAGGGCGGCGGCGCCCACAGGGTGGGGCACGGATGGGGACAGGGAGGGACTGCTCGCATCCTGCGCCTCGGCCTTTTGCCGCAGTGGGCGTGCGTGCGTGTGTGTGTGTGTGTGCGTGTGCGAGTGCATGAGCGATCCCTGAAATCCGATTTCTCTGCAACAGCCCTAAGGAAAATGCGAACCGGTTCCAGAAAAGATGATTCCCCGGCCACCTCCCTCCCTGCCAGCCCCTCCCGGCTGCGCTCCCCGCAGGGCCTTGGCTGCCCTGGGTTTCAGGCGGTGGCTCGCCCCCTCCCCTTTTCCTCCTTCAGAAGCCCGCCGGGGACATTTGGGGGCTGGGCGGGATCGGGAGATGGGGAGGGGTCCAGTGCTGGCGCCCGGCTGCCCTTCCCCCTGCGCGCCTGGTGCAGACGCGCGTGCAGTGCCGGCGGGAGCGAGTGTCGCGCGCGGACGTCAGCCTCGAGTGGGAGCTGGGAGCGGCCGGGGTCGCGGCCCCCGGGGAGCCCCTGGCTGCGCGGCTCGGGCACGGCCGCGCGGGTCTGCAGGTGGGTGCGGGCGGGTTCCTTTCTCTGCGCGGGGCCGGGCGCCGGGGCGCGGTGCGCTCCCTGCCGGAGGCGCGGGACTGACCCGCGGGCTCGCCTCTCACTGCGGCAGTGGGTGTGGACCTGGGTGGGCTAGGAAGGCGCGGGGAGGCCGCGCTGCCTCGGCGTCCTCCCCGCCCCCGCCTTCCCCCGTGTGAACGCGAGCTGCCATCTTTTTGCGGCGTGTCACGTCTTTATCGTTCTGTGCCAAGTCGCTTGTCCGGGCTTCCGAGGACAGGGGAGGGACTGGTGTGGACGCGGAGAGGGGCGACCAGCGCTGAGCTCGCCGCTTGGCTGCTGCGGACGCGGGCGCTGAGGGCGTTCACCCGGGATCTTCGGAAGGAGCTCGCTGCTTTGTTGTAGAGGTTGCGTGATCCGCGTTCCTGCCCCATTTGGGGGCTTTTAGTCTACGGGAATATTTTTCCACCCTCGCCGCAACTCACCCTTCCCCCTTTGCCTCTCATCTTTGATCCTTTGTTGGATCCCAGAGCTTGCTGGGGTCAATGGCTCTGAGTCCCAGCCCGCACGGAACGCACCGACTGAGCCCGACCCGGCAGCGCCCGGCGGCGTCCGCGATGGCATTCGAGGTTTCCGCGCGCTGTGCTGGCGGCCGCGGTGGGACCACGCCCCTTCGTGCACGCGGGCGTGGGGGCACCAGCTGCGGTCTAGGGACGCTGACCACCTCCCTGGGGTGAGGGAGCTCGCAGGCGGAAGCCCCGCTCCGAGGCTTCACTGCCTGTTGCTTCACCTCGTGGAAGAAGGTGAGGAGGGGGCCTGCGTTTCCTGTACGGTGACCGCACCCATCTTCCCGAGCCCGGGCCCAGGAGGTGCGCAGAGTAGGGGTAGCTTGGGAATCGATCCCGTCCGGAGATGGGACCTCGGGGGTTGCGCAGAGTCATGGAGATTGAGGGTCCTGGGCGGGGCCTCGTGGGGTCGGCCTCCTGGAGGACATCGAAGGGAGCCCCCAACCCCGGACCTGTGCCTCATTCTGAGTGACCCCAGAGGTCACAGCCAGATGGGCGTCCCTGTTTTATTTTTTTATTGTTACGATCTTATTATTGTATTATTTTTCTGAAGCGTGGGATTTCACTTAAATGTTCTCGTTCACTGCCGCCCTGGAAACCCAGGCGGAGGCGTTGAGGGAGGAGCGAACTCCGGGTGAACCAGTCCCTGCTCACAGTCCTGTTCTGCCCTGGGCGGGTTGGGTTCGCACGGTGTTCTGGTTAATTCTATAGCTGAACATTGGTGTAGCCGCGCAGTTCTGAGTCGGATGAGAATCTAGAAGCCGCCTCGTCCACATGGGCCTCCCTGGTTGATCCCAATTTAGGGGGATGCCCTTGGCTGGGGTCGGAGAACCTCACCGGCCCAGGCTGCCCTTCGCGCATGGTCGGGCGGGCTGGCTGCCAAGCGGCTGGAGGAGTGAGTCCAACATTCCCAGCCCTGGTCCTACAGTGTGGCACCCTGGGACACAGGTGGGTGCAGGATTCCCATTCTAGACTGAGCAAGGGTCTTGGGCAGCCTTGGAAAGGGGCGCCCGCAAACAAAGGTGTCCGTGCAGCCCTTGAGACAAAGATGTCCCCTCCTGTCCTTTGGAGGAAACGGGGCGAGGGGAGCGGGGGAGGGGGACGGAGAGCGCATTTTGCCAAGGCAGTAACAAAGCACAAGTCACGCATTGGGGGTATCGCTGCAATTTGAACGTTGGTTTGAGGGGGCTCTGCAGTTGCAAGGTCGGAGGTCTGCTGATGGGAGAACCTTGGGGATGGAGTGGTCCTTCCTGCATCGATTGGGAAATTGCATACTTGCCGTGGGGCACGCTTTGACCAAACAGCCTCACCTCAGGACCTGGAGAGATAAAACGTTTGCGCCCACGCCGCTGAGCCCCACAAGTCCAAAATGTCCAAGCGCCGGTGGCCAGGCCAGCGATCCCTGCCCAGCCCCCAACCTCCAGCAAGCCACTCCCGGCAGGTGGGAGGCTGTTTTGCATCCCGAAAGTTCCACTTACGCTCTGGTGCGCAGGAACCCGCAATTCCAAGTCCCACCTTCAGGTGGGTTCCAGTTGGGATGGGTAGTGGGGTGGGGGCAGTGACTGCCTGAGGCAGCAGCAGACTACTACGGAGCTCAGGCTTCAGGCTCCGCAGCGCAGCTTTGAGCTCTGTGCTCCCTGCCCCGCCCCCTTAGCACATTGGTTCTCCAGCCATGTGGGTTTTCACGGTTAATTCTGAGGTGTCCTTTTATGTGTAATGATGGTGTTATGTTTACCACGTAAACACTGCTTACCCCCCATCTTCAGACCCTCTAAATGAACGAATGGACTGATACCCAGACAAATGGAAAAACACTGAGTGTATCCTCTCCCTCCCCCAGCGCTGGATTGTTTGAAGGGTTTGTAGAAGCTAAGATGCTCCTTGACCAACCTTGGCCACCTTCCAAGATGTTTGAAGGAATAATCTGGCTTGCCTCTTGGATTCACCTTTGGACAGTTTGGGGGAGGGGTTTGTGGACTTGCTGTGTTTTGGGACAAGCGAGAGTCCATGACCTCCTATATCCCTGCCTGCACCACGTTGCCTGCACTGCCTGTTGTGGAAGGGTGTGGCTTTTAAGTGGCTTCTAGTGTCAGGCATTGCTGCCCAGACTGGAACAAAGGAAATGGATGATGCCCACTAATCGGAACAAGAAAACTTGGAATCAATTTTATTGAGGAATGCGCAGACTCATTCCCTGGAAAAGGCCTTCTACTGAGTGTGCCCGCTGACCTGCAAGCCGGTGGAGGCCAGGACCAGCCTGCAGACCAGATAGGGCTCTGGTGTCCTTTGTTTAAGCTGACGTTTTCTTCTGCCTTTTCAACATCACTTTGTGCAGTTCATTTGTTTAAAAAAAAGAATTGAGAGATCATGTTTCATTCCACTTTCCCTCCAGCATTTTTGTGTGTGTGTGATTTAAGTAGCTCCCTAGCTATGTATGTAAATGTGTGTTACTTTTCCATTTGGACATGATAATTTTCCAACTAGGCCCTGTCCTCCATTTATTTGGTTAGCATCTTCCTTACTCTGCCCTTTGAATAAGATCACTCAGAAACAGAAACACTGTTAGGGCCCCAGTAGAGGGCTAAACACACAGTAGGTGTTTGGCCCGTACTCCTTTAACAAATAAATGGGTGCAATGGAGAGATGCAGGTAGAGAGAGTGGCAAAGAGAAAGTAGAGTGTGGTGTGCATGCTTTTCTTAGGGTCACAGCATCTGAAATCTTCGGTGGGAAGGCCAATCCGGTTTGTCCTAGCTCTGTGTCCGGGTGACAACCAGACAGCACCTGTTTCTCCGGGTACACCTCCCTGGGTTGCCGTGCCCTCCTTCAGGTCTGGTAACTTGGTTCCCATAGCTTTACCTCTTCCTTATTGGCAAGAGGGAAAGAGGACAGGAAAGGGCAGAGAAACCACCCCGTATTCCTCCCTGCCTGCTACTTTTGGGCAGAGAGCCCTGGTCTCTCTGTTCCTTCCTCTCCCTCCACCTGCCCCTTTAATCACCCATTTCAGAGATTCCCCTCACCCCTCTGCACCCCCACAGAAAACCGTCTGCTGTGGAGGTAGGTGCCTCCACTAGTGAGTTGAAGCTGGCTTTGAGGGCGACTCAGCAAGTAAGGGAAGCTTGCGCTGCAGGGGAGAGAGGAGCCCTATGCTCCGGCTAGAGCCAACTGCAGTTTCCTTGTAAAAACAGCTGAGATATCTAAGGAGATGTTTAATTTTCATAGCTGGGGAAGGGTACTACCAGGATTGTGGATAGAAGCAAGGGATGCCGCTGAGCAGGACAGCCCCCTACAGCAATTATGAGCCGGTCTCAAATGTCACTACTGCCTGCGTAGAGAAGCCCCCTGTAGGAACCACATTGTTCTGGCCCTGTTATCTCAGTTACGCCCATCGGATGCGTTGCAGGAGGTGCTGGGTGCTGCTGGAGCTCACTCCATTCTGTCTCACAGCCCCCCCACCTGTAGTGGGCAGTTATCACCTCTGTTACAGAGAAACTGAAGCCCAGCAGGCTCCCTGCAGCCAGGCTGTGGTGGAGCTGGTTTCTCCCCCTCTCAGCTGCACGTGAGTTTAATAGGCCTCTGTGGGTAGCCTGCCTGGGAGCCAGTCGTAATCTATAACACTGACCAAATCCAACACCGCTCAGGCACTTTGCAGGGGACAGTGACTGGAGCACAGCCAGCAACTGAGCTAGAGAGCTGTGGCAAAGTCTCAGTTTCTGATTCGACCTTGACATGGACAGCAAAAAATTTCACTACATCTTGTTCATGGAACAGAGAAGTATAAAGTCTCTCTCCCTGGGACTGTTAGCCTCTTTTACCACTTTTCAGAGTTTCTGGACTGTTCTGTCACAAGAAGCGACAGCAGGTTCCACTGGCTTGGAAATCCAGATGGGAATCCATCTGGACAGATGTAGCTGTGGGCAGGCCCAGGTCCCTGCAGTTTTAGGGATGTCAAATCCTGATGTAGGTCCTGTAGCCACAGAAGTTGGGCCTTAGCACCCATTGAGTGGGCCAGCTCCAAGCCTGGGTGTGGGGAGTCGGGTGGGCACAGGAAAGTCCTCCTGTAGGCGTGAGGGGGGCCCTGTAGGCCTTGCTTACTCGCTGCCTGAGACTCCTCTGTCTGGGGAGCTCACTCCCACCCCGTGAAGGTGTCAGCAGCCTGAGCCCATGGCCTTTCCCCCCAGCCCACCCAAGGATACAGTGGACTTGGGCCACCACACTGTCTCACCTGTGTAGCCTTGCCAGAGGGTGGCTGCCCGAGAATCCCTTTCCTGCCCAGCACCGTGCTCCTGTACCTCAGCCAGCTTCCTTTCCTGCCCAGATGGCTGCCTTCAGAATGAGGAGGCAATTCGAGACAGCGGGGACAGTTCAGAGCATTTGGGGTTTTGATAGGAAACATTTTGTTGGTGATTAGAATAGGCTTCTGCAAAACACAGACTCAGGTGTCTTCTGGTGAATTATCTTCATTTTCTTCCCTTGGCCGATGCTTCAGCAGGCTCAGTACTGAGCCCAATGTGGCACACTGTAGAAATCCCGATACGAAACCATGTAGTCAACAAAAGATGTATTTTAAACATGAGTTATTCAGGGAAGCTCTGTGAGCGTCTTGAGGGCAGGTCCTCGGTACAGGTGCACATGGAAGCGACTTGGCCCCTGGACCGCGGGTGTGGGCCCAGATCCAGCCTCTGGCACAAGCCCTGTCTCCCATGCACAACAGGACCTAAGATGTCACTTAGCCTCTTCGAGAGGTGTCTGTCTTCTGTCACTTGGGGATATGATAGAACCTACCTCACAGGTCGCCCTGGGGGTTAAGCCAGGTGCAGGGCTTACCAGGGCAGGCACCAAGTAGCTGCTCAGTAGATGACATCACTATTAGGATCCTCTGTGACAGAGGAGATGGGGCCCTCTTGTGATCGGACAGATGTGCAGGTCTGTCAGATGATCCTGGTGATGGAATCGCTTGAAACATAAATTGCTACAGGGGCCGGGATCACAGAGGAAAGTGAGCAGCTGCCTAGCTCCCCTGGAAACAGGCGTTGTTTGGGTGGAAGCAGATCCACAGACCTCGTGGCACCCGTACTTAGTGCGCACACAGCTCTTGCTGCAGGCAGCAGAGTGACTTATCATCTATTGTTCTGCTTCTGTCCTCTTCCTTCCTGAAATCCGCACGATGCCCGAGTAGATTGTGTTCTCTGCTCACCCGTAGACGGAGCATCCTGCCCGCTGGGAAGGGTGACCCAGCTTCGAGTTCAGAGATCGTTCCGGTCCACGCGGTGATGGACACGTGAGCGTAACGGTTGAGAAAGGAAGGGCAGTAATGGAAGGCGGTGGAGGTTGGGAGGATTGTATGAGGACGTAATTCAGCAAGACGGTGAAGTGGGCAAGCTGGCCAGCAGCTGGCGGGCAGGCTCCGTGGTGGGTGGTGGAGAGGGAAGTAGAGACACACCACGTATGCGGACTGACCCCTAGGGACGCCCGGCGTGCAGTGAGCCTTGCTCGTTCAATCGAGACAGGATCAGAGTATTTCTGTTCTTAAGTTTTTATATCACAAAATCACTTAAAATGATGCATATACATTTTACTTCAACTTAAGCGAGATAGTTTGTGTTTGTCCACCTCTCCTTTGACACAGGGCTGATGCTTTTCTTGGCATCTGGATTACCTGGTTGGCGTCTTGCTTGTCTTTTTTTGCCTACGTAATACTCGTAGTGCATTGTGTAGGTCTTCAGAATTCAGTTCCAGTTTTGTATTTATACTGTAGAATAATCTGAATGAAGATTCCCTAGGAGGTTTTACTGACTTTTTTCATAATTTTTAATGCCTCCATGTGACAGAAAAACATTATTTTTATGAAGTCTTTCCAAAGCTTTCAACATAATTTTCTTAAAATCAGTAAATAATTTAAGGAGTTAACTTTCCTGCCCTGATTCCCATCCACTTCCTCCCTGCTTAG